TCTGCCCTCAGACCTATTAGGCCTTCAAGAGGACCAGTATTTTTTAGTAAACAATACACACACACACACACACACAAAAGAATCTGCCCTCAGACCTGCTAGGCCTTCAAGAGGACCAGTATTTTTTAAATAAACAATATCCCTAGCATTTCTTCTCTGTTATCAGTCACTAGCTGGGTAACTTAGAGCAAGCTGGATACCACCTCTGAATTCCATTCTCCTCTCTTATGTGGGTATAGTCACAGTACCTACAACACACAGTACATGCAGCTGGCCTAAAAGAGAATGCACCTGGCCCTCTCAGCTGACATAATGCTGGCCTCCATTATCTTTTACAGCTAGTACCTATTACCTTGCTCATGTTTGCTACATCCAACACAACCATACAGTGATCATTCCCCCTCTAGCAGATGAGAAGATGGAGATAAGGCCACATAGTTGACAGGAATTTAGGAGAGGTCTCAAGAAAACTATACATTGAGTACCTGAATATTAATACTACCTAACACCTCTGTACCATTAATTTGAACTGGGTTCAGTTCTAAGAGTTTTTATACCTCCTGTGAAAAAGCCATAGTAGAGGATAAAGTTATATGATGCATACTGCTGTTAAGATCTGACCAAGAGCAGGCACCAGTGATTCATGCCTATAATCCAAGCTACTAAAGAGGTAGAGATCTGAGAATCAAGGTTCAAAGCCAGCCTGGGCTGACAAATCCAAGGGACCTTTATCTGCAATTAACTGGGAAAAAGCTAGAAGTAGGAAGTACCAGCCTTGAGCAGTTTTAGGCCAAGTGAGAGTACAAGGCTGAGTTCATCCCCATATTGGGATGGGGTAGCAGGAGTGGGCCAAGTTCACAGTCAGAAAATGGCAGGGCTGGGATTGGAACCCAGGCAATCTGATGCCAGAATTCATGCTCAATACTGTTTTTCAAAAGAAAAAAGGCATGCTGGGCACCAGTCACTCACACCTGTAACCTTGCTACTCAGGAGGCTGAGATCTAAGGATCCAGTTCAAAGTCAGCCAGGCAGGAAAGGCCATGAGACTCTTATCTCCAGTTAACTAGCAAAAGGCCAGAAGGGGAGCTATTATGGCTCAACTGGCAGAGAAACAGCCTTACAGGGAAAAGCTATGGGACAGTGCCCAGACCTGAATTCAAGACCAGGACTGGCACAAAAAAAAAGTCATGCTGCCTGCCCCCTTTCAACTAAGTCTCAGGCTCTGGCTGGGCTCAGGTTGGCAAGTGGGTGCTTGATTGCTTCCTCACTTACTCAGGCACTTCTGCTCACAGGGTGAGAAGTAAGATATTTCTGAACCACTCACAGCTTACCAAGATCAGTAGATCCCATACCTTGCTGCAGCCAGCAGCTTCTACTCAAGCAGACCCAAGGGCCAAATGAGCATTTCCCTTTCCATTCCCATTTTCAGCCCTCCCAGGGGCAGAGAAATTTTAGGGAGACTCTATTGATCCCCAGATTGACTTAGATGACTACACAAGGAATCATACCAGCTGCTGCCCTTGAAGAAACTCATAGTATAATAGGGGAAACCTTAAAAAAAAACCAAAACTCTTGTATCTGGATCTCCTGGGATGTAACTAGTTTTCTCTTTTCCAAGACTCTGAATAGTTTGTGGGAGCTATGGCCAAAAAAAAAAAAAACCCTACAAGGCACAGCTGGGAGCCTGTAGCTCAAGCCCATAATCCGAGCTACTCAGGAGGCTGACAACTAAGGATTGAGGTTCAAAGCCAATCCAGGCAGAAAAGTCTTTTAAGTCATCTCCAATTAACAACATAAAAGCTAAAGGTGGAGCTGTGGCTCAAGTGGTAGAGTATTAGCCTTGAGTTATAAAAAAAAAACAAAAAAACAAAACTCTCCAATTAACAACATAAAAGCTAAAGGTGGAGCTGTGGCTCAAGTGGTAGAGTACTAGCCTTGAGTTATAAAAAAAAAAAACAAAAAAACAAAACTCAGGGAGAGTGCGAAGGCCTGACTTCAAGCCCCAGGACCCACACAAAAGGGGGGGGGGGAATATTAAGAGCTGGAAGCATGACTCAAGTGGCAAGGCACTTGCTAGGCCCATATGAGGGCAAATTCAAACCCCAGTACCACCAAAAAGAAAAATAAGACATGAGCTTCAAGTACAAATCCCATCTCATTCTGCTTCTGGCAAAATACTGCATCCTTATGAATGGCTTCAGTCCCTTACCCCTACAGGAGGCTTCAGACTAGATAAGAGCATAACAGTAAAGAGCACACTTAGGCTTCAAGGTCAGGCATGGCTGAAGTTTAAAAGCCATGCACCATCACTTCCTCAACCAGTTTTACCACCTCTAGAACCCTGATTTCCTGCTGTCAGATGCAAATCAGACTCCCTACCCACCATTGGCAAGGCCTTTGGCCATACTACCACGTCACATTGCACTTCTCCAATCCATCACACTGCCCATCATTCACACCAAGCTCATTTCCCACTTCAGGATCTTTGCACTTGCTTTTCCCTCTATCTAGAACAGCTTCCTTCCATACACATACATAACTGTTCCTAATCATTCAGGACTCAACTTAAATGGCACCTGCTCAGAATTCTCTCTGTTCCCTTTTCTACCAACTCTCTCATATAACTCACAGCATCCAGACCTTAACTCAAAGGCTCGCCCTTAACGTGTCTAAACTGCTATTCCCTCCCAACTCATCCCTTACTGCATTTTCCTTTCCTCTCAGCATCTAACCATATTCCTATTCATATTCTGCTTACTTGCTTGCTTTTTCAAAGTACCTCACAAAAGAACCTTTTCATGATCCTTAAAGTCAGGGAAGATGTCTTTTGTTGGGGGCTGCCGGGTGGAACTCAACAAATGAATGAAACCCCAGGAATTAAAAACAATGCCTAGCACGATTGTCCTCCACTATTCTTTGACTGAATGCACCATCCTCCCTGTCCTGGGAAAGCAGGCCTGATGGGCTCTTGGGCCAGGATGCTTGTCATCCACTCTACCATACAGCCCTTGGTTGGCGGAGGTGGCGCTGGCAAACATTACCTGCGCCTCACCGGCTTCATGCAGCTCTTCAGCTGCCTGGCCTCAGCCTCCACGGGACCCTGGCACTCAGGCTGTGGCTCCAGCTGCTGCAGCTGCGGCTGCTGGGTCAGCCCTTCGACATCAGTGGGTGTGGGAGCGGGTGCGATCCGGAGCAGGACTGTATAGTTGCGGCCGTGGTTGTTGGCCCAGAAAGTGCCCTCGGGGGTCTCATAGCGCACCACGAAGTCGAGGCGCGCCCCATCGCCCGCACCCTCAACAAAGGGCAGCTGGAAGGCAAAGCGGTCAGTGCGGCCGCCGTCGTCGGGTGAGGAGGTGGACGCCTGGCCAGGGCCCAGGCCGAGCCCGGGATCCAGAATGTGGTCTCCTGCTCCTGGTCCTCCCGCTCCTGCCCCAGGTGCGCTGCGCGGGACGTATCGCGCTGGGTGGTCGCAGAACGTAGCCCAGCCGTCGTGTGAGGCCCGCACGTGCACTGCCTTCTCGAAAGAACGATTCAACACGCGCACCAACCCGCGAAGCACCGGCGGGCGGCCCCCAGGCACCCACACCCCGGCACCCCCGGGAACCGCTCCAGGAGGCGGTAGCAACGCCTCCAGCTCTACCATGACGCGCCCCAAGCGCTCCAGACGGCCTGGCGCGGGCGGCAGCGAAAATGTGGGCACCAGGTAAAACCCCCCGCCAGCGGGAACGGGGCATAACGGCGAGGGATCGGGACAGGCCTCCTCTTCCTCCTCCCCTTCATCCCCATCCTCGCCATCGTCGTCCTCGTCAGCCCCGCCACTGCC